AATTACATGGCATGTGAAAGTATGTATATAAGGTATATGAGCACATTAAGATCATTTTTGTGTACCCATGACCTTTTGTTTATTTATATTGTTACTTCCGTTTGTTTCTTTGTTGATTGTTTTGTTTTTTTTTTTGTTAGTTTTCTAATATTTCTAAAAGATAGAACACATTTTAATGAGATTTTAACTAAAGGTGAGTTTTAACCTAACTTAGACGCTTATTGCAGTTTTGGTGGTGATGCGGACCATGGTTTGGATCCAGGATTTTTTCTGTAACTCGAAAATTTATGAACAGATTTGAATAAAATTTGTACCTGAGGTTTGTCTTAGCCTAATTAATATTTCATAAAATTTTGATCTGGAACATTTGGCAAAATCTTTTGCTCATAGATCAAACTATGTATGATGAAAACATTAAAAAAAGAAAAACAAGATAGAAATAACATATCATATTTAGTTATTTGTATGGAAAATTTCTTCATTATCGTTTTTTGGACGCTTGCCGGATTTTTTTAATTATTCCGAAAAAAAGGTTGGTCTCATCCTATGTGAAATTTGATAAGCTTTCAGAAAACCTCATTTTTTAATTATCTCTAATCATTGCGTCACAACTGCCGATTTTCTAAGGTAACATCAAAAAATGAATATTTCAGTCGACATCGAAAATCGCTGCTATCACCTAAAAAATAACGGTCGGGCCTTGAAATTTTCAGGGGGGAAACCTAGAAACTCCTTGAAATGCATTAAAGTCAATTTCGGCAAGAGGGGCGAAAATCGACGAAAATCACCAGGTCCCTGTAATAAAAAAAAAAAAAAAATACCAATTCATTTAGGGTAAACTAAAGAGAAGACCAAAATGAACATCAAATATATAAAATATTAATGGATTTTTTTTTTGTGTGTATAATTACATATGATACGTATATGAAGTTGTTATTAATGAAAATCTTACCAATCATGCAAATTGACCTTTTCTGCCCAACTTCACTCCTGCTGCGAGATAAAATTGTAGTACTTGTATTGTTGGGTAGTACGAAGTGGCTTGGACAAAAAGCATTCAGAGATCTGGGAAGCCACTTCTTCCCAGGCCTTTGCTTTCATCTGACTAGTATTATCAGGCGAAAGTTTATCCTGTAATTATAAATGATAATTTGTAATGTAAATGTGGAATACACATCATATATTAACATTTCTCTTTCGCACTCACTCTCTCTCTCTCTCTCTGTCCCCTCTCCCCTCTCTCACTCACTCCCTCCCTCCCCCCTTCTCTCTCTATCTCTTACTCACTCACTCCCTCCCAGTGTGTTTGTGTGTGAGTCAGTGAGTAAATTCTTACTAATAAAAATTAGATTTCTAATACATAAAAGGGACAACATTTTTGGCATGAGAAAAATTCTGCCAAGAAATTAGGCTAGATCAGTCTCGATTAACTAATATTTCGTATTATCGTTTCATATCAAATCGAATTTTAACCATGTACTCATTCATATAGATAATCTTGTATAATTAATTGCTCTAGCTCTGAGGACATAAAATTACACTCATTAGCAACTAAATCCGGATATACAGCCATATCCCTAGTCCTTCGCCATTGTCATGGTCACCGTATCGATGCGACCGTCGCAAGGTACCACGAACAATGACCATCAGGTATCCCTAGTCCCCCATCGAACGCGATCGCGATCGCTTTGAATGACAATTACCAACCTATGCGAATTACACCACATGTAATTTGGAATTACAGTTACAAGGGATTTAAACAGGTTTACATATAATGAAATTCTTGAGAATATATGATAGAACGCCAACATTAATATACAGTAATACAAATAAACCAATTTGGTAATTATGTGAAATATATTTCTGATGATCGGTCGGTAAGTCGGAAGGAAGTAAACAAAATTTCAGTCGCTGCATGGATTCAAAGGATCGTGCCCTGCCTCTCTCTCAGGCACAACTGGTGACCTTAATTAAGCTCGTGCGCGAGAAGGAGCTATGATAAACGACAAGTCTACAGCCCCAGGTTCGGCAGTCAGGAAAAAAATAGCATGGCAGTCAATTGCTAACGCGTTTAACGCATGCAATCCCGACCAAAATCCTCGGACCGGATACCAGCTGAAGAGGAGTTTTGATCATGTAAAACGGAAGTAAGTCACTAACGTAACAATTTTTATCACCATTATGCAAATTAGGCATTATATATAAATGTATAATTTTATATTTGATAAACACATGAACATTGCTAAAATCCCTGTTGGTTAATAATGTAGATTAGGGGCCAGTGTCAAACATTTGTTTCCACACATCGTAAATAAAGAGAACGGAATATTATAATAGAATCTTATAGATAAGTTAAAATGACAAGGTAGAGATGTTCCTTTATCTTTATCTGAAGCAGTTTTATGTTGTATTTTTTATTAAGTATGTTTCTGTAATCATGAAAATAATTTTGGAAGCGCTGGTTCACATATATGATAAAGGTTTTATTATACAAACCATAAAATTAGATAAATCAAAAGTTTAATAAAGACATAGATAGTGTAGGGGCCCTGAGGGATGTGTACAGGTGGCCCACTACATGTTCAGGGATTTACTTGAACCACAGTAAGGGAAGACTTGAGGGATGAAATGGTACAGATTCGGTCAGGTACAGCAGATCTACAGTATACCTCTGCCTCGTACTAATAGACCAGATATTTTCACGTGAAAGTGTAATATTAGTAGGATAACAGAATAACTGAAGATTATAATTTGAACTGGAAAGCAATATTCTGACCCTTGCCCCCAAACTAATTCATATATATGATAGATATAATTGTGCTAATCTTGCATAGTAAATGCTTTGTCACTGGAAATTCTGTTCCCTCATAGCATTTTTATCATGTGCACTTAAGATTAACCCACTCGTTTTTCTATTTTGTAGAGTTAAACAAGATCAAAGCCAGTTCCGAAGAAATATATAAAAACTGGCGGTGGCCCTCCTCCAAATCCTCCAATTATGAGTGAGGATATGCAGATTGCATCTTTGATGATGGAAGTTGAGCTGGCAAAGGGTGATGGAGTTATAGAAACTCTCGGTTTCGAGCCAGTGAAGGATAGTAGGCAGGGTAAGTAACAAAATGAGCAGTGTTAGTGTTCAAAGGAACAAACTGTTTTGATGTTATGTTTATTTGCTCTTTGTATCTATCTATCTATCTATCTATATATATATATATATATATATTATATATATATATATATATATATATATATATTATATATATATACATATATATATATATATATATGTATATATATTTATATAAATTATATATATATACATGTATACACGTATATTACTTTTTTCTTTTTCCTTTTCAGACACTGGTTTATATTTCCCAGCCAAACAATCAAGAAGCTTCCACCTCATCATCTTTCTGCACTGAGCCTATGCCCAAGATGACCTTCCCCATCTGCCATTAGTGACCAGACATCACAAGAACTGCATGCTGTTCCAAGATTTCTCCCTTCACCTCGCGCCACACCTCCAACCCCAGGCCCCAGTTCCGGAAGACCTGCATCACGATCTGGGAAGAGAAGGTTCTCGGAGGAGTTTGAAGCTTGCAGAACAAGACAGGATGAACATCATGTGGCACGATTACAGCAGATGAAGGAAATGCACGAGGCAGAGATGAGAGAACTTCAGGAAAGATTGGAAAATGAAAAATTGAAAAAGAAACTAGAAGAGCTCAAAATTAAAGAGCAAGAACTTAAGGTACAATAAATGGAAATGAAGATTCAAGATCAAAAAAAGTTGAAGGGCAAGATAACAGGATGAGGGTGTTTGCTGTAACAGAAGCTGCAAATCTTCTTTTGGAAAGAATGGAAATAAGTTTTGATAAATTGGATACGTTTTTAGACAAAGCTACTTCTGCTTAAGAGGCCATGGGGAATGCCTACAACTGATGTGTGTGGAAAATATTTTGTTTACTTTAAAAAGTGTAATTTAGGGCTATTATGATCTGTGATATGAAATAGTTTTAGTTTATCAGATATATGGCCTTTTCTCAGGATACAATGTTTATTTTTACACGTCTTTTATATTTGTATATATTTTGATTTTTCCTGCATAAAGCCTGCAGATTATATAATTTTGTGTACTTAGTATAGTTTATATATATATGAACTGTGATGTGGAATATGTTCTAGTTGGTCAGATTATGTTCTTTATATATATATATATATATATATATATATATATATAATATATATATATTCTCTCTCTCTCTATTTCAAGTTATATATTGTACAGTTTTTCTGTATGTCTGTATATTTTTATTTTTTCTCTGCATTAGACATGAAAATTGTATCTTTCATTTCGTTTACTTCACAAGTATGTATATATGCTATGGACTGTAATATCATATTTTTTTTACCTAGATTTTTTGTACATGTATTTTTGTATGTATTTTGATACCATTTTTGCATTAAAACAGAAAATTATATTTATTTTATTTTCCATATATTAATTCAGCAATTTTTACACTATCAAAGAGACCATACTAAAAGGATATAAAGATAAACTTACAGCGATTTTTTAATTTCGCACAAAAAAAAACTTTCCCGTAAGTAAACATACAACAGTTATTTAAATCAAAAGTGTCTTTCGACAATATTTGCTCTTCTCACTTGCCCCCGACCATTATCTGCTGCAAAAATCTCAGGTTGCATTGAATCGTCATCATGTCCATCCCATGTTCAAGGGGGAGCCCATTAATTACAGCAATATTATGCAGTACTGCACAGGCAATGATAATATTTTTTTGCATTGGCTAAGTGTGTTCTAATTTTAGTGGCCAGAACGCCAAATCTATTCCAAAAACCAAATGTTCTTTCTATGGTGTTTCTGGTTCTTATATGGGATGCATTATACCTCCTTTCCTTTCAGGAATGGAGTGAGTAGATAGGACTTGCATGCATACCCACTGTTACTTGGGA